GTCCCATGATCCTCCAAGTATCCCAAAGACAAAGCACTAGACCATAGGCCCGACGCTCGTCTAGCAGGCTAAGGTACGCCCCATGACCTAGAAACCTGAATAGCAAGCAACGATGCTATTCCTGAGGGCTCTCTTTCTATAGTCATAGCTAGAACCTGCTCCGAAGTCCTAGTCACTTCCTTTTGTTTGGGTGCCCCTTTAGAGGATGCCCAGAGAGCCGTCATCTTCCGAAGGCTCGGAAGTGGTGTTTGAAGCATGGGGCGGGCTGTGTTGGCATCTTCGACGCCTCCTGGTCCCAACGTCCTACTTCGGGGGGGGGGGGGGGGGGGNNTTTCGGGGTTTAGGGTTCAGGGTTGCTTCGGAGCTGTCGGGTTTCAGGTTTAGGGATCCGGATTGTGGGTTTAGGGGTTTTGGAATCTGCAGGGGCTCAAGCCCTGAGGCTGACGGTACTTCAAGGATCATGGGACTTANNCTTAGTAAGTGGGGTTATAATTAGGGTAACTATACTTATAACCCCAATTAAGGGACTTATAACCTTACTTACTAAGTCCCATGATCCTTTAAGTAGGGCTTAGTGGGTGGAGATTGTAGTAGTTATGGTCGGAGATACGGGCTTGAGGTTTCGGAGCTATCATGACAAGATAGACATGTGGGCTCCTTTCTTTTAGTTAGGGCTTGGAATGTAGTTTAGATGGGTTTCAGGGCAGAATTCCCAAAGACAGGGTAGGATGAATGAAAGCAGGTGTACAATTGATGGTGGTTCCGGGCCCCGAAGGACCCAAACTTCAGACTCGACATAATTCAACATAGATTCTGCATCCTAAGCCGTTGTTCTCAAAGCAAAGGCGAGTGCAAAGGATGCCGACAGGTGATCTCCGAACCTTCTGCCACAGAGGCTTCCCACTGTAGGCCTGCATTGGGCTGCAGAGTAGAGGTAGGTGTGTGTGTGTGTGTGTGTGTGTTGGTGTTGGACCCTAAACCCTAAATCCTAAACCCTAAACCCTAAAACCCTAAACTTAAGGCATCCTTGGCTTTTTGGTACCGACTTTTTGGTGTCGGATCTTTGGAGTCTTCGCTCTGAAGCTCCCAGATCTGTAGTGGGCAGATCAGGGATCAGGGGACCTGGTAAGCAAGTCACATAAGGCAACGATAGTACTACAGCTACGTCTGCCAGACACTTATTATAACACTCCCTGCTTGTGGTTGTTCTCTGCTCTTGTAGAACCCTAAACCCTAAACCCTAGACCCTAAACCCTAAACGCTAAACCCCCCAAACCCTAAACCCTGTTGCTGCATGGTGGCAGTTCTCAAACCATAACAATAAGACTGTCTCAGTCCCTAAACCCTAAACCCTAAACCCTAAACCCTAAACCCTAAACCCTAAACCCTAAACCATAACAATAAGACTGTCTCAGCCCCGAGGAAAGATGCGATGGCGCGGGCTATGCGCTGGTTTCGAACATCACGGTGAGCGCCAGCCCCAGGATAAACTATGAAGCCGGGATGCCATGAAAGCCGCCACCACTATGCACAGTCCGGAAACTTCATATACATATATATATATATATACACGTATATACGTGGATCTAATTATATATACACATATGTACATACATATACATATATATATATATATATGATAAATACAGACAACCTCAATCACCAGAAACCGAGAACCCTGGACCACGCGGCCTCGTAGACCCCAGCTTCTGCACTAGATTCAGCACTTCCGGACCACCAAGGCTAAGCGCAAGAATCAGGCTTGTAGAGGTCTCTCAACCAGAAGCTCCGAAATACTACCAAGCCCCTGCTGCCTTGCAAGCCTGTGAACCTCCGCCAGAGATGAAAACCTCCCCTAAGCACTTCAAAGCTCCAGAACCCCACAACAGTTCCCCTTAACTTTAAGCCCAAAACTTTCAAACCCTAAACCCTAAATCCTAAACCCTAAACCCTAAACCCTAAACCCTAAACCCGAAGCCCTAAGCCAAGCCTCCTCATCCGCCAGAACCTGTTTGAGGCGATCTGGAAGCTTCGGAAGATGGCAGCTGCCTCTACGAAAAGCTCGCGGAGCAATGACGCCTGGGATTCGCGGTCGCCTGTGAAGGCCGAGCCGGGCAACCTTCGAGGTTCAATATTCAGGGGTTTCGTGCTCTAGTCTAGTCTACTTAGATAGAACCATATGGGGATACTATTATTTCTACCGTACATAGATAGAACCATAGGGGGATACTATTACTTCTACTTCTACTTTTCATAGAACCATAGGGGGACACTCTTACAACTTCGATTTCGGGGTGAGTTGGGACTCCTAAACTAAACCCTAAACCCTTTAGGCGGTGCGGGATAAGGGTCTCAGGGTTCGGCCTCGAGGCTGCGGATTTCTCGCAGTCCCTAAGGCTCCATGCCCCTTATGGTATATACATACATATATATATATATATGTACATACATACATATATATATATATACCATAGGTCTTCAAGTTCAAGTAACTATAGACAAATAGAGGAACCCCTTGAAAGCCGTAAGTACATGCTATATAGGTGCGCGAAGCCTTATAGGGAGTCAGCAGGCCTCACACTTCTTCCTCCGCTCGGAGGACGTTTCTGAGCTGTGCCCTCGGACGTCTGGTTCTTGCAAAAAGGAGGTCTGCGCAAGTAATGTAAACATCTGTGCAGAAGCAAGAGACCCTGGAAATGCTGAAGAATCGAAGATATCTGGGTCGAAGTGGGTACCTGCCCACAGCAGCAGCAGCAGCAGCAGCAGCAGCAGCAGCAGCAGCAGCAGCAGCAGCAGGAGCAGGAGCAGGAGCAGCAGCAGGAGGTGGAGGAGGAGGAGGAGTAGTAGTAGTAGTAGTAGTAGTAGCAGCAGCAGCAGCAGGAGCAGCAGCAGGAGGTGGAGGAGTAGCAGTAGTAGCAGCAGCAGCAGCAGCAGCGGCAACAGCAGTGGTAGTCGTCGTGGTCGCTGCGGTAAGTGGGAGTGGTGCGGGTATGCAGTGGCGGGTGGAGGAGAAGCAGCAGTCACAGACCAGAAGCACCAGCAGCCGCGCCGGGAGCAGCAGCAGCAGCAGCAGTAGTACGCATCTTTCTTACCGCACAAATTTTCCTCGCAGTTTCGTTTATGAGTACCCGATATTTGGTTCAGAGCATGCTTGTTCTGGTGTTTAGGATGATGGATCACCGTCAGGCGCGTGTAAACCGAAACAGCTACCAGCCATCGTCTAAGGTGGCTGCGCCTGGCTTTGCAAGCCGCCGAGTGCAGTGGCGTTTGACGATGCTCAATCGGGCAACAGACTGCTTAGAGGATCATGGGACTTAGTGAGTAGGGTTATAATTAGGGTAACTATACCTATAACCCCGATTAAGGGACTTATAACCTTACTTACTAAGTCCCATGATCCTCAACCCTAAACCCTAAACCCTAAACCCTAAACCTTACTTACTAAGTCCCATGATCCCCCAAGTAGAATGGTGCAGACCATCAGGTCGTTGAGCCGCTTGAGTGGCCGCTGCAAGTGCTTGCTGCCATGCGAGATTGTTCGATGGTGTCACGGACTAGGGCAATGAGGACACGAGAATGATGGTTATGGTGAGGATGGCGAGAAACAGGGACCACCTTTGCTCATACTGTATTAACCATAGCCATCTGGATGGAGGATAACGCCCACGATGAAACTTATGTTGATCATGGTAACGTTGCCATGCATGGTGGCACAGCTGAGCGAATGTCGACTGCGATAGTGATAACGATGTCGATACTGATGACGACACGGGCGGGAAAGATGCTAGGAGTGGTGTTGTTGTCGAGGCTGATTAAAATTAAAATAAAAGCAGGTAAATCTTGTGAAGGTGATGCCAGTGTCCTGTGTTTACGAGGATGGAGGAGAAGGCGAAGCCCCTCATGTGCGTTCGCACGTTGATGCTCATTGAGTTGGTGGTGAGGAGGATGGAGTGAGACTGCGGCGGTGATGGGGTGATAATGCGGATTGATTATGGCGAAACGGTGATGGTAGTGGTACATCGTCGTGAAGTTGTGCAGTGAGTGTTATGGCTATCAATAGCTGCAGGCTTTTTCCACCAAGATGAGTTCTGTTACGGCCGGCTTCCGCTTTTTGGCTTCTGAGCTTCTGCGTCGGCCGATGAAGGCGTACCGCCACAGAGAGTAATGCGCACGCACTGCGTGGGCGATTTTGCTCACTCTCCATCCTCGCCCCGCATCAAGCATTGGAGCTTACACGACCAGCCACCACTCAGACCGGATGCCAGGTCACATAATGCATATGCAGACAGCGACACACCTTCACAAACAGCCCCATAATCCGTTCGAGGCCTTCTCTTAGTCTCTTTGGAAGGACAGACCAAGGGACTTTAGGCATGTGCATGGATGAGCAGCAGCACGAACCGTCAGGCGGGCAGTTTTCGATGAGGCCGTGCAAGTTTAGCAGAGGATGGTTGAAGAGGGGTCATAGTCGAATGTATAGCTTCGACGGTCGTACAAAACATACAATACCATACAATTCACTGCGGCGGACTGAGAGTTTGTAATCTCGGTTCGGGATTGGAACAATTAGTCTTTAGTCGTATTCCCTGACGGTCCTCAATGAATATGGTAAGCACTACTCTGTTTGTCAAGCCTCTTTTCGTTGGTGGTTTTCCCTCCTGGGCGCTTCCGCTTCAGAAGCGACAATCTTCTACTGTCCGGTAGTCTGCGCATGAAATCCGGAGCCCGAGCATCAATTCATTCATAAAACCCCGGCCCAGTTCTTGTCAGAATCTGTGGTTTAGGGGCGCCAAAAATGGTACTCTCTGGGCAGGTGAGGACGCCGGGACCCACTAACGACTCCCTCACCAAGTTACGGCAGTACGCCCGGCACTGAGGAGTTGGCTTTAAGCCTTGAGTGCAGCTGCAGGGTTTCGTGGGTTAGGGGTTCAGGGTTTAGGGTTTAGGGTTTAGGGTTTAGGGTTTAGGGGTTCAGGGTTTAGGGCGCAGGGGTTTGGGGTGTAAGGAATTAGGGTTTAGGGATCTCTTAGTCAAAGCATCGCGCGTTTTTTTTCTGCGGGTGTCCTCCATGTGATGGTAGTTAGGCTCGTGTACTTAATTTCACGTGGGTTGCCCATCGCTCTCTTAAAGAGTCTGCTTACCAATCTGACCTGTGCATATATATATATATATATATGTGTATATATATATATATATAAGTATACATAACGTTGAGTTGTACACAACAGGTAGAAAGGTCACATTTACATATCTAGATAT